ATCAGCAAATTCAAAGACATGTCATTGGAAATCATTTGAAAAGAAGAGCAAATCTGTAAAAGAATGAAAAGAAGCAAGTAAAAATGAGCAGATTTATGGCACACCATCAAATGGATTGACACGGGATTTTCAGAAGGAGAAAAGAAACAGGAGAAACCAGAAAGTTTGTTCAAAGACACAATGCCTGAAAACTCCCAAATCTAGAAAAGAAAATGAACACCTACTTCCAAGAAGTACAGCGATCCCTGAAAGACATGAAATTAAAGAAATCCATGCAATACACTTACAATCAAATTATCAAAAGACAAAGAGAGAATTTCGTAAATAGCAGGGAAGAGTGACTCAGAACATATAAGGAAACCTCCACAAGACTATAAACAGATTCTGTTTTTCAGAAGAAACTGAAAACAAGATATTTTAAATTTTAACTTATACTTTAGTTATAGTTATTTTTAATACTTTCATCTTTTAGCTTTTATACTAGACTAAAACTGAAATTAAAAGTGATTTACCTACCACCCTTACAATAATAAAGCATTCTGCATTTCTCTATAAGTTTATTTTTACCAGTTTTACAGTTTCGTATGTGGTTTTGGTTGTTATCTGAGAACATTTCTCTCTCTCTCCCCCCCACCCTTTTCTCCTCCCTCCCACACCTTTCTTTTCTTTGTCCTTCTTTGTTTTGTTACTGGAATTTGAACTCAGGGTCTTGCAATTGCTAAGCAGATGCTCTACCACCTAAGTCACACCCTAAGCTCCTCTTTAAAAATATCTTGAAACAGTTGAAAATGAAAACACAACACAGTAAACTTAGAGAGTACAAAATAACAATACTAAGAAGGAAGTTTATAATAATAAGTGCCTATATTTAAAAAAGGAATTGAGTTGACTGTGGTGATACAAACCTGTAATCCCTGTACTCAGGAGGCCACAGCACAGGGATCACAATCTCAAACCATCCTGGATTACATAGTGAACCACTGTCTCAAAAAGGCAAAGCAAAAAGGTTTGCAAATAAACAACTTAACTTTACACTTTGAGAAACTGAAAAGCTAAAACCAAACCACACCCAAAATTAGCAGAAGGCAGGAAACAATAGAGATTAGAGAAGAAATAAAAAAGAGGATAGTAGAAAAAAGACCAACAAAATTAAGACTTTGTTTTGAAAAGATAAGCAAAATTGTAAAACTAACTGGGTAAAAAAAAAAACCAGTAAGACTCAAGTCAATAAAATCAGAAAGAGAATACAATACAGCTGACACTTCAGAAATAAAACAGAGCCTGAGACTAAGGTGAACTAACGCATGCCAAGGAACAGGATGATATAGCAGAATGGAGCGATCCTAGAAACATACAACCTACCAGGACTGAAGTAGGTCTATTACCAGTAAGGAGATTGAATCCATAATCAAAAACCTCCCAACAAAGAAAAGCCAGGACCAGAGGGCTCCACTGTCAAATGCTACCAAACACTTAAAGAATCATAGCCAAACCGGGCATGGTGGCACGTGCCTGCAATCCAGGACTTGGGAAGCCAAGGCAGGAGGGTCACGTGTTAGAGGCCAGCTGAGGCTACATAATGAGATCTTATCTCAAAAACCAAAACAAACAAAAAGAACTAATGCTAATTCTTCAAAACTTCAGAGAAGACATAAACAAAGGAAAGACATCTGTGTTCACAGGCTGGAAAACTTACCACTAAAATGTTCATACTATCTGAAACGATCCGATTCAATGTAATCCCTATCAAAGTCACAATGGTATTTGTTAAAGAAATAGAAAAAAATTCTAAAATTCACATGGAACTACAAAAGACTTCAAATAGCCAAAACAATCTAGAAAAGGAATAAAACTGGATGCATCCTTATTTTAAAACATGTTACAAAGCAACATTAATTAAAATAATATGGCACTGACATAAAGACACACAAACTGATGAAACGAAATAGAGAGCCCAGAAATAAATCTATGCATATATGCTAAACTGATTTTCAACAGTGACCAAGAATACACAATGGAAAAAGGACAGCCTTTCTAACAAAATATTAGAAAACTGGACATTCACTTGCAGAAGGATGCACTTGAACCCTTATACATTACATATAAATAACAATTCATTTTGGTGTTAAATATTTAAATGTAAGCCCTAAAGCTGTGAAACTCCTACAAGGAAACAGGGAAATCTTTATGACATTGATTTTGGCAAAGATTTCATGGATAAGACACCAAGTGCACAGGCAATACAAGTAAAAGTGGATAAGTGGGGCTACATCAAACTAAAAAGCTGCTGCAGAGCAAAGAAATGGCCAAGAGAGTGCAAAGGCCACCTACGGAATGAGGTACATTGCAAAGAAATGGCCAAGAGAGTGCAAAGGCCACCTACGGAATGAGGTACATTGCAAACCATGTATCTGATGAGGGTTAATATTCAAAATGCATGAGGAATCCCTACAACTCAACATCAGTAAACTAATAACCTGGTTAATATTGGCTAAGAACTTGAGTAGGCATTCCTCTGATGAAGGCCATGACCAACAGGTATGTCACTGCCACTGCAAATCTGCAATGAGATATCATTTCACATGTGTTCAAATACTTATAAAAATGGGCCAGACACAGTGATTCACACCTGTAATTCCAGATACTCTGGAGGTAGATAACATGAGGATCACAGTTTAAGGCCACCCTGGTCAATAAGTTAGCAAGACACTCATTTCAACAAACAAGCCAGGTAGGGTGGTACATAGCTATAATACCAGCTATATGGCAGGCATAGGTACAAGAATGAAGGTCTGAAGTATGCCAGGGAAAAAAGCACAAGAACCTACCTGAAAAAAATAACTAAAACAAAAAGGGCTGGTACTAGATGCTTGGCTCAGTACAGCATCAGGTAGAGTGTCTACCTAGCAAGTGTGAGACTCTGAATTCAAACTCCAGTACCACCAAAATAAAATGAAAACAGATGTTGATGAGAACATGGAGAAATTGGGATTCTGTTCACAGTTAGTGTGAATGAAAAATGGTGCAGCTGCTAAGGAAAGCAGTATGGAAACTCCTTAAAAACTTAAAAATAGAACTACCGAATGACTAAAATAACTAAAATCAGGATCCTAAAGTGGTATCAGCACTCCCCATGCTTATCGCAATACTATTTGCCATGGCTTGATGAGGAAATAAACTAATGTCTATTGACGGGTGAATGGACGGCATAATAACAGTGTGGTATATATACACAATGGAGTAGTATTCAGCCTTAAAAAAGAAATCCTGTAATGTGTGTCAACATGGGCATACCTTATATGAGATATTATGCTATATGAAATAAGCCAGTCACAGAACCCAAAATACTGCATGAGCCCATCTATATTAAGTATCAAAAATAGTCAAAATCATGGAAGCCAAACAGAACAGTGATTTCCAGGGGCTGGGCAGAGTGTGGGATTGTTAAACAATGTGCATGAAACTTCAGTTATGTAAAGGAGTGTGCTTTACGGTCTGCTGTGAGCATGGGTCCTACAGACAGCACTGTATCCTATTCTTAACATCCTAAGGGGTGCATTTTGTAGCAAGTGTTGTTATGGTAAATCAGAGGGCAGGGAGCAAGTTGCTCCTGTCCCCAACCCAGCCTTCCTGACTCTGCTCCCAGCCTCATCTCTACTGTCTCCTGCTACTTCTAGCCTTGATTTAGCCCCAGTATTTCACCTCAGTTTCCAGGAAGGTGGCTTCTAACTCAGGCCAGGTCTCTTCTCTCTCTGCTATTTTCTGCTGTCACCCACACCAAGACAAGATAACATTCTCGCCTCCTTCCAGTATGACTCTGAGAGCCATGTCCCCATCTATCCGTCAGTGGTTATGGTTATGACTAGCTGCTCTGGATTTCAGTTCATGCTCAGTTTCCACAAACACAACCACAACCAGGTCCAACCTGGCCAGCTTGATGTGTCACAGAGAGGGGGCCTCAGACTTCCTTAGCAATGAGGCCTGCTGTCACACAGCTCATCTCAAGGGGACCATGATCCTAATCCTGCTTTACCACAACTAGCCTAATGATTTTTGTGTGTGTGTGTGTGCATCTGTTTTGGGGACAGTACTGGGGTTGGAACTCAGGGCCTCACGCTTGCTAGGCAGACACTCTTATCACTTGAGCCACTCCACCAGCCCTTTGCCACATCTATTCTTAACTGGGTTCCGTAGAAACTAACCGAGAGGTGAGTTTGCCTTCACAGACTTAGATTATGACATCTTTACACACTTGAGGAACAAGGTGATGTCTGAAGGATCAAAATGTATTTCAAGCATCAGAACCCACAAAGCTTTCAATAGCCAAATTTTTCATTGATGCTATTTCCAATCCTCAATGGGATGACAGAACCAAACAATTCCAATGGAAGAGGGTTTTAGTTCAGCCTGGCTAGCTAAGCATCCTTTTGAGCATAGCATTTGGTATCTGTATTATGAAGATAAATTTAGAGAATGAAATAGAAACTGAGAGATGTTAGTAATTTTCCAGGCCAAAGTAACTCAGCAGTAAGTGGCAAGTCCTCAGGGAGTGAGGGCAAAGCTAAAAACACAATGTGCTTCACGGTGCAGGAAGAAGCAGACTATCTTTCTACAAATATTGCATATTAGAGCTGGAGTTAACAGAAGAAATCATTAGACCAGATATGGTGGCTCATACCTGTAATCCTAGCTATCTAGGAGGCAGAGATCAGGAAGATCTCAGTTTGAGGCCAACCTGGGTAAAAATCCCCATCGAAACAAACAAGTCAGGTATGGTGGTACATCCCTATGATCCCAGCTATGTGGGAGACACAAGTAGGAAGATGTCAGTGTAAGGCTAGCCCCAAACAAAAAGTGGGGAGGTGGTGGGGGAAGGGCCTAGGAGCATGGCTCAAATGGTAGAGCACCTGCCTAGTAAATGCTAGTCCCTAAGTTCAAACCCCAGTACCACCAAAAAAAGAGAGAAAGAAAGATGAAGCTTTCGATTGTGGAGGACTTACTCAGCTTGTTGATGTTGGGTAGTAAAGTGCTCCATGTGTCTAGATACTCCGCTCTAAAGCCATCCATGGAAAACAGGATCACTGGTGGCAGGTCAAACCTGAAAATGGAACACAAGAACTTCATCCATGATTACGATTGTTAAAAAAAAATACACTTTTCGGTACTGCTTACGATTCTCTAAATTAAAAAAAAATCTGTTTAGACAATACAGTAATAGTTCTGGGTCACATAACGATTGCTAAATTCTACCGTCTTTTGGGTACAATTATGACAGGAAATTTAGAAACTGCAGTGTGAGGTATTTTATTATTCTAAAAATTCATTTTTTGTCTGTGCATTCTAACATTTCTGGATATTAAAAAATACCTTGAAAGAATTTCAACCTATTTTTAGAGCAGTATTTAAGGTAAAATGATCAAAGGTAACTTTTGGGTTATAGCCATAGACTGCCTTTAAATTTTTTATTATTATCTTTCACTTTTTGAGTCTCCCTAGTATTACACACAAGTGCTCACATGCACATGTATCACACATTTATACCTTGATAAATTTTTACTAACTGAACTCTGCTCTGTAGCCATGACCAAAATTAAGAAACAGAGCATCACCACATCCCAGAAAAGTGCCAAGGTGTTTCCTTTGATTATCTAAAGTAATCTAGACCATTTCCAAATAAGATCACATTCTCCATCACTGAACTCTGCAAACCCCACCAGCCCCAAAGGGATGAGAAATATCTTGACTGCTGACAGCATAGAGTAGTTTTGTCTACTTTCCTACTGACATTTGTATGCAAATTGAGTCACACACTACATGTTTTGTTGAATCCAACTTCTTTTACTTGACCTTGTGCTTGAGATCAATCCATATTTGCATGTAGCTATAAATTACTCATTGTCACATCTGTCTAGTAGTTCAGTAAGTGAATACATCACTTGTTCATTCTACTACTGACAAGCCATTCGGGTATACAAGTAAGTATGTGAAAGAAATTGTTCTCAATTCTGTGCTCAAGAATTGTATATCTAAAGTTTTAAACCAAAACATACTTTTCCAAGAAATTTAGTTAGAATAAATCTTTTAAAATTCTGATAAATTATCCAAAGATGATTAAAAAGAAAATTCTGGATGCTAATTGTGAAAAATAAGAAAATGATTTCTATTTTTTCAATATGCTTGAGCAAAACTAGAAAAAATGTGAGTGTTACCATCTAATTCCCCATTGTAAGTGAACTGTGAAGAGGCAGGAGAACAAGTTTGTTTAGCTTGAAAATACTTATTTATTGTAGAGTAATTCATTTAGCAAATATTTGAGTGGAGCTTGTACTAGGTACTGAGAATAAAGTCAATGAAGGAGTCATGGTCCTCATCTAGGAAATGAAGTGGAGAGGTAAACAGGAGAGGGAAGGACTAGGTTTGAGTACAGAGTGCTAGCAAAGTACACAGAAGGATGTCAAAATCAGTCTTTGTAAAGTGAGAGCAGGTTTCTCAGCTTTGTATGAACTCAGTCGAAAAGAGCCAATAGAAATAATATGAAAAGAGAATGGGACTAACGTTTTAACTTGGAAAGAACTGTGCAAAAGCCCATATGAGAGATATGATACCAGCAATGACATTGAGGAGTCTCATACACATTGAGTTAAGCCAAAACAGCTGGACATAGAGAATTACATTGTATGAGTCCACAGGTATGAAGTTGTGAAACAGGACTCAATGGTGACACAAATCAGAACAGTGATTGCTTTTAGGGATCAGGGTTATGAAGGGACAGGAGGCATCCTTTAGGGTAGTGAAAACATTCTATGTCTCAGAAATATTCTGTCTGTAGGTTATTGAGGCTTATGAGTTTCCAAATCTCATGATAGCATACACTTAAGATAGAAGCATTTCAATGTGTATGACCTACACCTCAATTTAAAAACAAAAATGAAAAATTGGGACCATTTGAACTGCAATGTATAGAAAATTCATCAAAAAACTAAAAGTGGCCTGGTTACATTGCAAATTTTTTTTTCATAAATGATTAGCATAATTCTGATTTAAAATCTTATTTACATAAATCTTCCATCAAAATAACCTTGCAGCACAAAGACAAGTTCAATAAACCATGGGACAAAGTGGAATGCAAAAGTTGAGTCAGTATAGTCCTTTTTTGTTGTTTTTTTTCAGTTGTACTGGGAAGTCATTTCTTTCTTAATGGCTTCCCTGCCTCTCCAACCTGCTCAAAGCTCTAGAGCAATTTTATGTGCTGCTACCATAGACATCCTTACAACTAAAACACCCTTAATTATTTCCTGAGTCTACATTGCTAAAGATTAAATTTCCTGATCTAAGGGTAAATAGACTCAAATATTTTGTCTATTCTCTCCTGACAGTCTATATCAATTTACTCTTCCATAATCAAGACAAGTAGCTGGTACTTTACTCAAATTGTGGTGCATTGACTGCAGGATAAAAATGGAATCTTTTCATTTTTTATTTTTCTGATAGCTAACAAGGTTGAGCATTGCATCATTGTTATTTTTACTGCCTGTGATAAAACCCTAGTAAGGGCACTCTGAATGCCAAGAATTGTCATGTCACTTCTATTATTTCACGTTGTCATTAACAAAATATATCTAATTAACAATCAGCAAGCCAGGTCCTGATATTGCATCCAACTTACTAATAAGACAGGTAGGAGGATCAAGTAACTACCCAAGGTGTTCTATCATTGTTAGGGGCAGATCTAGGCTATTGGTCCACATCTGTCTGACTTGAGAGCCCAAGCTCCTTATTGTACCATGATGACTAGAAAAAGAGTAAAAACAAACACAGACAGAAATTCTAGCTTCAGTGTCAAGCAAGAGAGTTTCATGTAAGATAACGTCTCAACCACTAGCATTGTTAGCAGTGAATATTGTTAACACTCAGCAGGATCATCACTCCCGTGCCACACAGGGATAGAAGGGGACTCTAACAAAATCTATGGAGTGACTGGATGGTGGGGGTGGCCAGTGTGCCAGGTACCTGAGTCTCCCCTCTTTCCTCACCAGCTTCCTCTCTAGTCTCGTCTTGTTTCAAGGGTGCTAAATTCAGTCCTGTAATCTCAGCTCTTGAATTCTTGGGTAGACAAGTGATTGACCAGAGAGGATCTTCCGGCTAATCTTTAGTCTCAGTGCGCTAAGGCTCTTTATAAAGACCTCAGCAAAAATCTTTTTGCTCACCTCCTAATGTCTGTTTCCTTCCTATTATCAGAAGGGGGAATCTTGGGGCCACAAACGATTCATCACATTATTCTACTTTTTACTGCTTCTTCTGGTCAATTGTTTGTCACACACTCAGAATATTTCAGAGGGAACAGCAAGTCACAGAGACTCTTGGGTCTTGCTGCCTGGGTTTGTTGACTGCCTCCAGAAATCATAAGTAATATAACCTGGGAAAGTGGCCTCATTGTCTTGTGCTTTTGTTTCATTAAAGGGATTTCATTACAAAGGGATAGGGATAAATAGAGCCTACTTCAAAGGACTTTTACACAGAATAAAAGACATTGTGTAAAGCACATATTACTACATACATGTTAGCTGGTGTAATAATAACTATTATCAATAATAAGAAGCATTATTATTTTGGTGCTAGGGATTGAATGCTGGACCTCACGCATGCTAAGCATGCACTCTACCAGTGAACTGTATCCCAAGTTCCCCTGTTGTTATCAGTATGCTTTTGTTGGAGATAAATTGCCAGTGTAATTTGGACCCTGAGAAAAGGCCATCTAGATTTATGCTGCTTGGTTCTGGACACACTTCAATAGGTTCCAATGTCAGGTCCATCTAATAAAACAAATAATTTTTTTAAATCCCATTAGAAAAATAATAGTAATTTTAAGTACCTACTAAATGCTATGCACTAGAACTAAAGTTGGCCTACTGCTTTATTTTCTTTTTATTTTTGTGGATCGAACCCAAGGCCTCATGCATGCTAGCCAATCCCTCTCTCACTGACCAGTCTGCATCTCCATCCCTAGCCCCGTTTCATGGTATAACAAACATTTCCCCTGTTTAGATCATTGAGTTTTTACATAAAATCTTCTGAGCGTGGCATTATTATTATAATTATTCTGCTTTTATAGATGAAGCTCAGAGAAGTGATGAATATGAAGTCCCTCAGGCCAAACCCAGACTCAAAATCAACTCCTTCTCATCCTAAATCCATTGTTCTTCCACCCAGAAGCTGGGGAAGAGGGCAGGTGGACCTGAGGATTGGAACAAACTAAAGTTCCATGGTACAAAAACAGACACTCCCCTCAATAAGAAGAACATTCTTAGACGGCCTAAATGTAATGATAAGGATGGAAAGAGAAAGGATGAGGAGATTTAACAGTTAACCAACTACATGTAAAAATACCCTCAAAACATAACAACAAACAACCATTCTACATTCTTGAACCTGTATGTTAAAACCTTAACTCAAATCCTATCCTCACCCCTTAGGTGCCACCCCATCCTGACCCCAACCAATCCAGGAGCAACAAGTGCTTCTCCTTGTGGACCTCTCTCCTACTGGGAGCATCAGCTTCACATAATCCCATCCTGTCATAAATGCCAATGTAGGGTGGGCATGAACAATTTATGCTTTCCTTCCCCAGTTTCCATTAAAAAAAGAAATGCTCTCTGCCCTGGTCCAGAGAACCTTTTCTAACCACTACCCACCTTTGCTGCTGGAAGTTAAGGGATCTTGTTCCAGGACCTGTCTTTGTTTTCTGGCCAGCATCTGTAGCAGCTCAGATCCCTTTGTTTCTGAGATCCTTCAGTCTCAAGAGTTTTGCTTTAACACCATACATACTTCTTTTTCTTCTTCTTCTTCTTCTTCTTCTTCTTCTTCTTCTCTTCTTCTTCTTCTTCTTCTTCTTCTTCTTCTTCTTCTTCTTTTTCTTCTTCCTCCTCCTCGTCCTCCTCCTCCTCCTCTTCCTCCTCCTCCCCCTCTTCCTCCCCCTTCTCTCTCAAACTCTTCCTCCTTTCTTCTTCTTCTTCTTCTTCTTCTTCTTCTTCTTCTTCTTCTTCTTCTTCTTCTTCTTCTTCTTCTTCTTCTTCCTCCTCCTCCTCCTCCTCCTCCTCCTCTTCCTCCTCCTCCTCCTCCTCCTCCTTTTCCTCTTCTTCCTCCTCCTTCTCCTTTTCCTCTTCTTGCTCCTTCTCCTCCTCCTCCTCTTCTTCTTGCTCTTCTTTTTTTAGAGCGCATCTGCCTTCAAGCCCCGTCTGGCCTTAAGCTCCTGGGTTCAATTCATCCTACTTCTTCAGTCTCCCTAGGAGCTGGTACTTCAGGTGCACCACTGCGCCCAGCTCCATATGCATTTTTTTTAATGAAATGGTACCATTTTAAAACCATTGATTCTTTCTAAATCCAGGTATTTCTTACTTCTTCACCCTCACTGTCATCCCTACAATGCTGGGGCCCAGAAAAGTATGAAGGGCTGGGGCCAAAGGGAGGAAAGGGGAGTCCACCCTGGCCGGGTGGTAATGTGGGACCCAAGTAAAGTCCTGGGAGCAATGTCACAAATGTGTGGGGGAGAAGCATGAAAGGGGTGAGGGGGGTTTCCTCACACATCATGACCTATGATCACCTGAAAAAAGCCCCCTTTTCCATGTTGCAAGGTAACATAGAAGACCTTACTGTAAGGTTTCTTACTTTAAGACCTTCCACGAGCCTCTTCCCCTTCCCTTAGTGAGAAGAATTTGTGGCAGGATGTTAATAGAAAGGTATTCTAGGAGGAGAAATTTCAGGTTAAATTCCAGTCCTGACCATAAGACATTAAGAATGTTTGTTATTTGATACGCCAACCAAGTTTTTAAGTTACTGTGAGATGTGAACATAATAAATTAATGTAAAAGTGCTTGGTAAACAATAAAGCAAGCAAAGTCTGTTGACTTTGAGCCACAAGGACTCCAACCTTTTGTTAAGTATTCTGATTTGGCATCAAAGGAGAGTGGAGGAAATTCTACCCTGCCTCTCAACTGCAGTATCATGCATCAGCTGTTAAAGGAGGATAAAAACCTCCACGCATCCGTGCTCACCCTTCTGGACACTGAGGCTCCACCAATGCGGCACAGTCTTCTGTCACCCACGGTGCCTCCCCTGCAAAACGGAAATCATAATCTTTAGACTGCTGCCTCACACATAGAAAAGAGAAGCAAATTTTCAGTGGCCGTGATCTTCCTGAACTGCTTGATTTGTGCCACTTGGATGACTAACTTCTTTCAGAACACAAGTGCCATTTCACATGTTGACCATGGCAGTGCCTCTCATGACTTATGAGATCAGTAATCTATACCAACTGAATGCCAGGAGGACAACCTACTAAGAAAAACAACGGGGTTCCTTTAGATGAAAAGGAGTATTTCTTCTCACTCTCATAATGGTCTCAACCCCCTCTCCCCCCACAGGGACAATGTTTTCCCAACTGCTAGAATAAATAAACAAAAAAAAAATCATTTGCTCCATAGATGCTTCACTTTATAGAACATTCTAGTTTATTAACGAAGCAGAAATGAGAGAAAATAAATGTCACTATGTGTACCCCCTAATGGGTCTAGGAATGATCAATGGCTAACATTAAAAAAAGACAAAGTAGACATGATGCACCACCGCTTACAAAATATACTTGCAAAAAGTAAATAATTACACCAGAAGCTCAACAGTCCTCTGTCTCTAACTACTCATATACAGAAAACATATGGAATGATAAGATCCTTAAGTCACAAAGGATGCAATCAGCAAAATCCAGACTGGAAAACACTACAGGACAAATGATCCTGTGTCTCCAATATATAAACTATAATGGGGAAGAAAGAAGGGCGTGTATATATTTAAAGGACTTGAAATATGTCACTCAGTTACTAAAGAGAATATTTGGCTACTGCTTCAATCTTTTAAAAACATATTCTGAGACAAGAAGAAAAATTGAACACTGATTGGATATTTGATAACAGTAAATAATTATGTTTTTATATATAGGCATGGTATTGTAAGTTTTTAAAATCCTTATCTTTTTTTAAATGCATACTGAAAATATTCACATATCAATAACACTAACTCTAGGATCTGTGTTGAAACCTAAAATTTTGAGAAAGAAGTAGGAAATGAAGCTTACATTTTGTTAAGAAAAAAAAAATCCAAAACTTAGAAATAGACAAAAAAAGGATTGATCACTAGACTTCATGTTATAGTCAAGCTGGGAATTAGCTAAAAGCCCACCTGTGCATTATATACTTACCTGGGTGTATGCATCTTATCTAGTTACATTATCATTCATTGCAACTCAGAAAGGGTAACAGGGTACAATGAACTCAATGTAAATTTTTGTGTGTGTGATTTTCTACTGTCCTCAGTGGACAATGCTATCACATGACCTGAGTATCAGTCTTAAGATAAAAATCAAAGTTACAAAATTGGGGCAGAAGAAGGAAAAATGAGTCAGAAGCAATAGGATCAGTGAAATTAGGAAAACAAAGAAGAACCCACGTTTTGTAGATTTATGGTAATTTTTAATGATCCAATTTTACAATTAAAATAGAGATACATTTCAAGCTACTTTCTAATAAGCCTTTTTAGATTATTTTAATTATATTTCCTATAAAAAGGATTCATCTATTAGTACAAAACTTATTTTCTACTAATAGATTACAAAGTAATGTTTCTGAGATAGTTGAGGACCACCCAAAAGGGAAGTAAAAGATCATATGGTGGTAAGGGGCCCCAAGGCATCACATCTGCTTTGTGCTTTCACAGCAGTCACACAGGCCATAAATGAGGACCTATGGCTCACAAGTAGCCCCAGGATTAAAAACACAGCAGGTGCAGGCACATCCTACTCGTACAGATGCAAGCAAGGGTCAGTCTTCTGAAAACCTGCCTTACCTGGAAGTCAAAGCCAACCGATGAGTTATCTATAAAAGCTCAAACATTAATCAGTCGGGACTGGCCCCTGTCCATCAGTTTAAGTCCCTTATTTGTATAAAGAACCCGAATGGGAACTTTTTGGCGGAAAGTTTTCCGAAATTAGATTTTCCCTTTCCTTTGTTCAGGGAGCCACAGCCTGATGCTTGATTTATTATTGGTCAGAGCTGTGGCTCCCATCTAACTGATGTCCTAATAAAAAGGCCTCCCATATTATCCAGCCATACTACTTCTGAGGATATACCCCAAAGAGTCAAAGTCAGCTAATTGCAGAGATACCTGTAAACTCATGTTTATCAAAGCATTATAGCCAAGTTATAAATCAGCCTCAGTGCCCATCAGTGGATGACTGGTAAATAAAATGTGGTTGTATATATACATGATGGAGCTTTACTCAGCCATTAAGAATAATAAAATTATGTTGTTTACAGGAAAATGGATGGAACTGGAGATCATCATATGGAGTGAAATAAGCCAGTCCCACAAACACAACTATCACGTGTTTTCTCTTTTTTGTGGAGACTAGGGGGGAATAAAACAACTAAGGTCATGAAACTAAAAAGGAAACTACTAGAGAGATGGAAGAGGAAGGGAAAAGGGGAGGGATGAGAGGGTGATAAGAAAGACTAATAGAGGAGGTGAAGCTGATCAAAGTACTTTATATGCATGCATGGAAACACCATGATGAAACCCCTCAGTATGTACAATTTAATATAGGTCAATGTTTTTTGTTTTAAAAAGGCTTATCTCTATCCCTCTGGCTCTGGACATATTTCTACCATTTCTGGTCCCAAGAATCCAACTCCAGTGACATTTACACTACAATTTCCTCTGATTTCAAAAGTCAGAATTCAAGCTTATCTTGCTTTTTTCAATAAAATTATTAAAAGTATAAACTAGTTCAGTTGAGTGTGGTATTATATGAAAAAGGGATTAATTTAAAGAAATTATCTATATGTATATGAAATTTTATCTATATTTATGAAATTTTCATAAATTTCAGATGCTCTGAGAGATTGGTGAATCTAAAAAAGAATTTCAAATCATTTATAAAGTAGGGAGCTGGTGAAATCAGGAGTTGAATGCTTGAACTCTAATCTTGAACATGCATTAACTCTCTAAGGGTTCTTAGTCAAGACATGGTGGTTGCCAGGTGCTGATAGATTATGCCTGCAATCCTAGTTACTTGGGAGGCTGAGATTGGAATGATCACAGCTTGAGGCCAGTCTAGGCAGGGAGTTCACCAGACCTTATCTCTGGTCAAGGTGGTACAAGCTTGTCATACCAAGCTATGCAGCAAGCTAAGATCAGGAAGATTACAGTTCCAGGCCAGCCCAGGCAAAAAAAGTTCATGAGACCCCATTTCAATGGAAAAAGCTGGGTATGGTGACCCTCACCTGTCATCCCAGTGACCGGGGTTGGGCGGGGGGAGTATAAAATAGGAAAATTGCAGTGCAGGCCAGCCTAGGCAAACAGCAGACCCTATCTCAAAAATAACAGGAGAAAAAAGGGCTGGAAATATGACTCAAGTGATAGAGTGCCTGCCTAGCAAACATGAAGCCCTGAATTCACACTCCAGTACCACCAATAATAATATTAAAATAATAATAATAAAAGATAAGGTTGTTTAAATACATCAGCTAGGTACCCTCTTCTGCAATGTTTTAACTTCAGGATCTGCCATCCAGTGTCTTAAATCACAAGTATATCTGGCACGGTCATTGGATAGAAGGTCATTGCCTTCTAGACAAACATGGAACTGTGCACTCTCTCTTCTTTTCTATGTCTATGGGATTGGCTCCTTTCCTCTACAGTGTATAAATCACACTTCCTCTCACAGTGAACATATTCCATCTTTTCCTCTCTATGGAGTAACTAAAGATTCTCTGGCTAACATTAAGAAAGTCAGAGTTCCAGGGATCCACAAAGGCAGATGCACCACATCTTCTGCTTACCTTGGCAAACACTCTTGTAGTCGGTACAGCAGTCCTTCCTTTGCAAACAGTCATCAGCACAAGAGCAAAGGCTGGACTCCAGTCTACTCTCTCCACAACGAAATAAATTGCACGTCCATATCTGAGCTGTAAAATTATGTAATTCAGTTCTGAGAATTTAAGTATAAAATATCAAAGATCAAAGTTAATGCATTTCTCTTCACATCAGAACACTGTCAAATCCATGATTTAACTGCATTAATAAATGAAAATAATCATAAAAAACAAGAAGCAATCCATGACTCCTCTTCTTTAGCATGGGTGGCAGAGAGAAATATGGCTGTATGAGCTGTAATTTTGGTCTATCACACAGGTGCACTCTGACTTTAGAGAGTTTTGAATACTGGTCCTTTCCCACCCAAGGGTAGGAGTTCCCTGTGGTGGAACATCATTATCCCTGGCAGAATAGGACTACCCAAGAGGAGCTTTGTCCAGCCTTGTATAAGACAGCCACGAGGAAGGGACAACAATGACAGATGTAATAGAAGCACAATCATGGCTACAGGAACACAGACAGGTCAGACAGAAGGGGTAGGCAGCACTGACCACAACGCTGGTATTCTCCCAGGCTTTGTACATAGAGCAAGAGTGGTTTTAAAAAATCCCATAGCTGAAAGCAGCCAAAAGCTGGAGGAAGGCTGCTTCCCATTACCACCTGCTAGGAAACAGTGACTAAAATCTTATCTGCCCTGTGCTTAGATAAACAGATGAATTGGATGAATGCTATTGCTTCTGTGTGCATAGAGGTCCTCACTCACCATCATTTATTAGTTTCTTAGAAACAAGAGTCACAGGATGAGAGAAAAAGCAAAGGGAATATAGGTAGCAACATACAGTGGGTTATCTCCCCCTCTTGCCTTTTTAAGAAAACACAATATAAAGAACTCTGCTGTTCTAATATTCAGTTTCCCCATAATAGACATGCACCTCATCTTCCCTGATTATTTAGAGATTTAAATATTGAAAACTGTGTCTTCTGCCCAGAAGCCAATGCCATTGAGCACTAGCTAGCATCAGAATGATCAAGAATCACCAGTTTTCCAAGTGAATCATATGCCCCAAGAAGCTTGAGGACAATTGTAAATTAATTTAGGCTGGGCATAGTGGTGCAGGCTGGTAATCCCAGTACTTAAGAGGCTAAACAGGAGGATCCTGAGTTTGAGACTAGCCTGGGCTACATAGAGACACCCTGTCTCAAAAACAACAACAATAAATAAAAAAGAAAGAAATTAAGTAAGATGTTTAACTTAGGCCACAGTAGAACTTCATTGAAGCTTATATAACTATACAACATTTCATTTTCTGTAGATAGTTATTCCTCAACTCAAAGTAATGAAGCATGGACTCTTGTGTTTACACTGTAAAGGGGTAAATGATAATAAAAGACCTTGTGTAGAAACACCTATGAAAAGTGTTATGTGTTGAACTGTTCCTCTAAAAGATGCTGAAGTCCAAATCTATTAATGTAATCTTATTTGGAAATGTGTCAAATTACAGATTGGACCAAATATATCCAAATTGCAGATATCAAGTATAATTGAATTGTTAGTCCAGGCCCTAATCCTATGACAGGTTTCTTATAAAGTGAGGGAAATTGGACAGAGACCCGCTGTGAAGAGACAGAAATTATGAGAAGGTGAAGACAGCGTGTGGCATTGTAGTACTATCAGCTAAAGAATGCCAAAGATTGCCAACGACCCTCGAGAAACTACGAGAAAGGCATAGAACACACTCTCCCTCACAGCCTTCAGAAGGACCCAACTCTGCCAACACCTAGATCTTGGACTTCTAGCTTCCAGAACTGGGTGGGAACAGTTTCTTGTTTTTTAAGCTATCTGGTTTGGTACTTTGTTATGGCAGCCCTGGGAAACTAATACACAAGGTAGTAGTTAACACTTGGATAATCCAGCAATGGCAACACAATTAACACACTAGCAAAAGTAGTCTCGTAATTCATACTTGATTCCACACAAGTATCTTCAAAATCCCAGCAGCAGTCATCTCGGTCTTTACATTCTGCATCACACCGGCAGCCCTCCAGGCCTCTATATGATGAGTCAAAGCATTTTTTCCTGCAGCTGCCTATAAAGTAAAGGACATAAGGTCGCTAGCATTTAGAAATTATCGGGTATCTCATACCTAGGTGGTGGAAGTACACAGAAGTATTTAGCCCTGACCAGGTAAGCCAAATTAATGATTTTTTTTTTTGTTTAGTATGTTTTGCAGAATAAGGGATTAAATAATGAGACACAGAGCACAAAGAATCACACAGGGTGCCTGAAAGGAAGGAGTCCCTGCAGAGCAAAAATCAAGTGACTTTTCCCTGGTACCTAGAAATGGAGACACCTGGGTTGGAGACGTCAAGCACCATTAGATAAGAGTAGTGGGGATAGGAACAAGGCTAATATAGAGGAATGGGTTGAAAATCTTGATGTTGAAAAATGACTTTCCTCCTTCCCTCCCACTCCAGACTCCAGGAATCACAATCTGGAGAAGTATAGAAACAGTAGCTTTCACCACAGACACAACATAGAAGTTAGTGTGGGGTTTTTTTTTTTTTTTTTTTTTGCAGCACTGGGGTTTGAACTCAGGGCCTCTTGCTCATTAGGCAGGCACTCATTAATACTTGAGCCACTCCACCAGCCCACAGATATAACACAGATGAAGATGGCTATGATGCAGAAAGAAACAAGCCTTACTCTGAAAAATAACACATGGTCACCAGCTGTTCGAGGATAGCAGGACAGCATACAACACGAAAGAAAAAGGCTAAAACAAAGAAGGAAGGAAAAAGAGAAAGAAAAACTTGGTTGAAGGGGAAACAATGCATGGAGTCAAAGAGTTAACACACACACACACATGCACACTCACTCATTCACACACAACTAATATTAAGACCCTCAAAACACAGAAGAGATTAACATATGGAAAGAAAGAATCTGGGCTCACATCTGTAATACCATATACTTGGCAGAGTCAGGTGGAAGGATCTACAAGTTGGAGGCCCACCTGGGCAACACAGGGAGACCTCCTCTCATCAACAACAACGACAAAAAGTTAATACACAAATATGAAAGAACGCTATAATAAGGAAAGAAATAGCATTAGAAAAACATATGAGAGGAGGGATGAAAACTTAGTAGAACAGTGTGGTAGGCAGAATTATCCCCTGGAGAATTATCCCTAATCTGTTAGACCATAAGTTTGTTGACTTACATAACAATAGTCTTTGCAGATGTAATTAAGGCTGCTAATTAGTAGTGATCTCATAGAAGTTGAGAGTAGGATGGTGGTTACCAGAGGCTGGAGATAGTAGAGGGCAGAGAGAAATGGGGGAAGGTTGATCAGTAGGTAATAACTTACAATTACAGAAAAAAAAGCTACAATTGGGTGCAAACAAATTCTATGCTATTGCATACTGATAAGGTTTACATATATCAAAAACTAGAACAAAGAGTATTGAATACTTTCACTTTAAAGGAATGATAAATGAGAAGATAGATATGTTTACCCTGATTTAAACAATAGCCAATGTATGCCTGTATAAAATATCACACACCAACACCATAAATATATACAAATTTATGTTTTTATGTATTAGTCAAAAATAAATTTAAATAAAGAGAACAAAAAACAAAGAGGTAATACCAAGAATTGAAAACAAAAGAATGGAGATGATGCTAGTTAAAATCTTATAAAATTTCTCAGAACTAAGAATTACAACAGTATTGCCCAGCAAGGTTCCCAGGGCAAAGCTTACACTAAGAGATCAACAGGGTTACGGGCATCTTAAAAGATACCAGGACAAGGGTCTGGCAGAGTGGCTCAAGTAGTAGAGTATCTGCCTAACAAACACAAGGTCCTGAGTTCAAGTACCAATACTGAAAAAAAAAAAGATCCCAGAGAGAGATCATGAGCAATCTACAAGTGATCACAAATCAGAAAGTTATCAAACTTCTCAAAAGCAATACGGGGCATGAGAAAATAGGAAAGTAATGTCTTCAGATATCTAGGTAGAAATTATTTCCATCTTTGAGTTCAGTGTGTAGTCAAACTACCATGTGTTAGATTAGGAAGACGTCTATCTTTAGATAGGCAGGACCTCTCATTTTATTTTCCATTCAGCCTATCTTAAGAAGCTATCAAGAATGTTCTTTAGCAAAATGAGGAAGTAAAACAGGAAGAAAAAACCCCAGCAAAACAGCAAAGCTAATGGAACTACCAACCACAACACCAAACCAATAGAAAAAAAAAGCATAAATTGGAGAAGCAGGAGAATGAAACAAAAAATTTTAAAAGGTATCATCCTATCCCCATCTTTACATTGTCAACAACTAGAGAACTAGATAATTCCAAGAGTTGATAGGAATGTGTGGTGAAGACAGGCTGTGGAGCCACCCTGATAGAAAGCTATCTGGAACTACTTATCCAAATCAGAAGTTGTAAACCCTAAGATCCAGGAATTCCACACCTGGGCATACAGAAAAGCAAATCTCACACAAGTCCATAAAGGAAACTTCAGGATTTATGTGTTGACAGGGAACTAATATCAACCTGGGCCTTCAGCACTGGCAGAGGGTATATGGTCAAATGGCACTTTGGATACATGACAATGAGTGCCACATATAAGAAGCAAAAGAATGAATCCATACACAGCAGTTTAGATGGATCTGAAAAACTGCTCAATAAAAAAAGTAAGAAAAATTGATCAAGATGTGACAATCCACTTACATAATGGCCTTTGCATTGTTACATTCACTTTCTCCTGTGAAACCTCTGCATTTGGTTTCCAGGACACAATTATCTGGCTTTTCTCTCACTTTCCTGGCCACTCCTTCGTCCTCTTCTGTGTTTCCCCCAGTACCTTCCTCAGTTTTTCAAGTGTGGCTTTAAATCCCACATGTGATGCTGATAACTACCACAATGAATGCCCAGGTAAGACTGTCCCCGAAAGTCAGCCTCCTATATAACTACCTTGACTTCTCCACTTGGACATCTAGCAGATGTTACATTTTAACATGTCCAAAACTGAACTCCTGGTTTTTCTCTGCAAACCAGCTCTTTCTACAATCTTTCCTGTCTCAATTATGGAAGCTTCATATTTTCACATGCTCAGAACCAAAACCTTGATTTTACTCTTGACTCCTTTTTCTCACTCCATACCCAATCTGTCAATAAAATAAATCTGCCACATCAAAATATATCCAGAATCCAAATACTTCTTACCAGCCATAATGCCACTGTCCTGTTTCAAGACATACGGTTATCCAGATTATTGCAATAATCCCGTAATTGATCTTTCTACCTCTACTCTTACTCTGCCCTAGTGCTTCTGTAGAAAACCAAACCAGAGCATTTCATTCCTCTGCTCAAATCCTCAATCATTTTCCATTGCTCTCAGAATGAAAGTTCAAAGCCATGCCTTGACATATGGACCCATGTGTAATTTGGCTTCTCTTTTTCTGACTGATCTCATTGTATGGTTACCTCCTTCTGGTCCTTGGTCCTCTTAATCCTAACTCATGGCCTCCTTGTTATTCTTTTAATAAAACATGCCCGTCAAGCTTTGACATTGGGCCTTTGCATTTGGTCTTCCTTCTTACCTAGAATGTTCTTTCTGAAGGAATTTGCTCTGTTGCTCCTTCACTTCTACCAGCCTTTATCTCTCTCTCTCATACACACACACACACACACACACACACACACACACACACACACACTACCATAACTCAATATTTCATGTTCTCCTTTTTGGTTTTACTTATAACTTAACACTTTCTTTATCATATCTATCTACATATACATATATATGTATATATTGCTTATTTATATTTTTATAATCTGTTTTCTGTAGATGTTCTGAGTGAGGAAGGGAGTAAAGAACTAGAACAATAGGATATTTTGGCCAGAGATTAATATATGCCTTTTGAGATCAATTTTTGCAATATGGAGGATAAAATAGTAAAAAATGGTGCCCTTTGGTGTGCACTAACATCAGAATAATTCATTTAAATGGCCTGCCAACATTCAAATAGGACTGGCATCACCACTCAGAAACAACAGCCAAGTGACCAAGAGAAGACAGTAATTTCCAGCTGCTATTTACCTTTTCAGGTCTACTGTGTTCCCATGTTGTAGAGGGGAACTGAATGTTAATCCTTCAGAGAAAGTATGACTGGAAAATTGTCAATTAACTTCCCCAAGAGTCTCCATAATAGAGAAGTAATAAGACTTCTGCAACCTGCTCAGTAGTCAAGCTAGAAGTTATCAGTCAAATTGAAAAAGGTAACAAATGATCCAACAACAGGTCTCCTACTTCAAACAATCTAAAAAATTATGGAAGACACTTTTTACATTTATAAATGGTGTAGTTTTACTATTCATACTAATAGGATATGAAAAAAAGTATGTGAGGTGCTTTTACACTTGGGGGCATCTATTTCCTATTTTTCTTGCTTCCTATGAGAAAAAAAATTGACACTTTTATTGTGTACTACTTTTTAAGAATGTGGTATTGCCTAGCCAAGAAATAGTGAGATTTCAAAGACAGAATGATGCTATGATGGTATCAAGATACAGAGGAGTTAGAAGGAGGTCTTGGGAGTGAAGCAACAAAAACTTCAAGGTCAAGTGCCTGGGTACTTTGTCATCAGATATTTATCATGACAGTAGGAGCTGGGACAGAAAGTCTGTAATCTGTCACCAAAGTTCTCTGTACTGGAATGATATGAAGCTTAAAGAAGCAGGGAGGTTTGTACGAGGGTGAAAGTGTAAAGTCCAGAAATGACACTCAGTGGCTAACACTAACCATAGACACAAGCTCCTGATAAGTGGGGTGTGGGGAGGGAGAGAAGCCTAGAAGGAAAATGTAGTATGGAGGAGGGAAGAGACCTGGGGCAAAGACAAGTTGTCATGGACTAAGGCCAAGAAAAGGAAGACATAAAAGTATGTTTTTTAAAAAAGGCTGAGGGGTATACCTTGCTCTTCTGGTTTCCTGAGTCCCAGCCCCAGGCCTAATCCAAGTGACACTATCACCAACAAAGCAAGAAGAACCTATTTCAAAAAAAAGAAAATTAAAAAAAAATGCATACATATATATACAAAATTACAAATAAATACCCTTTCTTATGTAAATATTAAGTACCCACAGTATGCTAGTTAAGCAGGAGACCAGATCTAACAATGATAAAAGCATGTTGATATATTTAATGCCCCTGATAATAAGAAAAATTTAGAAGTATTTTAAAATACCGTTTATTATAGTTCATAAAATTCAAGTACTTTTGGCTGGAGGCATGACTCAAGCGTCAGAGCACCTGCTTAGCAAATGTGAAGTCCTGAGTTCAAACCCCAGTACCACTAAAAAAAAAAAAATCAAATATTTTCATAATTAAAATACAATGAGACTGACCCCAATTTAAGTGAGAGTAGGAATTTGCCTTTTCCGATTTTTCTTTTTTCAACTAGGCCCTTCTTTGGAGATCATTTATATAAAGGCATTCTGGCATTCAGCACAGCTGTGAAATCTTTAACTAACTCCTTCCTAGTGAGCAGAATTGTTTTGTTTCCAACTCTGTCCATCAGAGGACAGTGAGACTATCTAGCTTGTGTAAGTAAACATATAATGAATGTTCGAGTGATAGAGCAAGTGATCTGATTTGATCTTCGTTCATGCAAATGATTTGGGATAATTTGAAAGCTTTATGACCAATGATTGTGCCACTCCTGATCACTACTGCTGACAATGCCTTTTAGGGAACTAAGATTAGATTAAACTATAATAAAACTAAAAGTAATTCTCCTTTGGTGGTAAGTATGCTGGCTAATGGGTCTGGAATTTTGTACATTGCCATAAAGAATGATAACAGATTCATAATCAAATTGCTTAGGAAAAGTGTCTTACAATAACCTTGAAAATAGGTTAAAGCACAAACAACTTTACAGAAGAAAAAAACACATCAAAATTGCTTAATTAAAAAATCTACATGAACTATTGGTTTTGAGAAGTTTGCTTTCATTTGGAAAATTAATACATTTAACTTTTACCATAGATGTGAATGCAGTGATTGGGAAAACACATTAAAATACTGTGAAAATAATTATCATACTTGAACCCAAAGGTCAGTGACCTTTTAATATGTTTTAATTCAATGGGAGGATGGGAAAAGGAAGTAACTATAAGTGGTTACTAAATAACACAATTAACAGTTGGCCCCTTGTCATAGCACTCAGAAGTCTCATGTGACCCATTGTAGGATTATTCCAAAGCAACAAAGAAAACCTCGGAAACTCCTTATGGCAAGCCTCATGTATCGCAGATTTAAAAATCAGTTTATTTAGGGTTGCATCTAATCTTTAGTACTTTCTCCATTCAAACTTGCTCAAACTCAATATCTAGCTGTCCTTAGGATGCTTTAAGACTTTGTAATGTTAAATTTTGCATTTCTTCATGATTTTGTATTTGTTCTAAATATTAATGGCTTGTTCTAAATATATATTATTCTTTCTATAAGTTCCTTGAAAGTAAAATGTTCATCTGTAATCTCTTATGATTGTTTAATTTAAGCATGTAATTCTCAGAAAGCTTCTTGATATTGGGGTGAACTATGGTGAGCGCAAAGTAGGGAGATTCTAGACTCCAAAAATCACTAAGAGCCCAACATTTGACGTCAGCTTGATGGAATAAATAGTGCTAAGAACACAGGGGAAAAAAACTTTAAATTTTTAAAATGAAACTTCTGTCAAAATGTGGAAACATTTGGGTACTTTCAAAATTATGATTTTTAAAATACCAAGTTTCACTAAACATACTAAAAAGCCACTAGAAAAACTCAAAGAAAAATAAATGCTGCACAAGAATTGCTCCTAAGGGATTTTATAATTTCTCAAATTCATAAAATAGAGTAAATCAACCAGATAGGATAAAGAACACTAAAATTCCTATATGATAAAGGATACGTAGAATATTCAGTACTGAGGGTTTACTTTGGTACAGTCACTGGGCTCAATGCTTATTCTTGGTAACAATGCTGGAGAGAGAGAAGTGGGTGGTAACAGTCTGTCAACCAGAGAATTCAGAAGAAAGCTGCAGCAAGACATGTGAAAAATAAAGCAATTGGTTTTGGCTTGAGGTGCTGGGTGAGGAGCCAGGGAGGAGGCATTTGAAATTGAGGGATGGGCACCCAGTAAAAAATCAGAAAGTAACCTACCCAGAAGTCTTGGTGGTACGACTCAAAACTACAAGAAGATACAAGAGTCCCTAAAGAAAAGATCATTAGTTAGAGATTTGGGAAATGTTTATGAGTAACATGCAATGAGAGGAAAGATAAACCAGCCAAAAATGCAGAAAAGGAGAAAAGTCATAAATGTGAGAATTTCAATGTCAAAACTGTTCAACAAAAGCCATGCATTGTTTTTATGGACACACAGGGAGGAAGGAGAAGAAAGCTCAATTGTTGAGGGGGGACTTCAGAGAGGAAAAGCAAAGCCAGAGCTCAGGGGATTACTGGGTGGTGAGAAACTGAAACAGTGAGTGGAGCCCCCTTTTCCCACAAGTTTGATGATGAAGGGAAAAGAGAGAGTAATAAAGTGAAGGAAAGCTTTTTATGTCATTTTTTTTGATAAGGGAAATCTGATCACACAAAAAATACAAAATGAGACTATTTCTAGAATAACAGTAAAATAGGATAAACACAATAATTCCACAAAAATATGATACAAATATTATAATTGCTACTCTTCAGTCTTAAAACATTCATGAAATAAAAATGTGATTTAGGAGCTAATTATAGTCATACAGAAAAAAATCATTGTTGGATGTGTTCTGTCATGGATTCCAGTCTTTTAGTCAAATACTAACCTCCTGTTATTCAAATATCTTACTTGCAGAATCTGATTAAAGATGTCAACTTGCATTAGAGTTGTCATAAGGGGTAAACTGGATGCAATTACTTAAAATTTACAACAAATAAATGTAAGTGAAGAATCACTTACTTTTAACATTTGTCACAAAGCTAGGAGGACTAAAATTAAGAGCTGTACTTACTACATGGTGAGAACTTGTCCAAAAAAAAAGGAAGTGTACTTACGATACAAATTATTTTATATTTCTTGAGAGTGTCCTTCTTAACAGGTTCCTCTGTTGCTAAAGTTAGCATAGAATCCATTGTTCCAGTAGCTGCATAAACCTGTTTGGCCAGAAGTCAGGCTTCTTCTTTCCTCTAGTCCGGAAACTGTCCTGAGTTACACAGCTGTGCCTAACTTTTAAAGGCTTGCAAAAAGCTCTGTGGTGATTGGGCAATCCAGAGAGAAGAAAATTCAGGCAGTAACGGTAAGGCCAAAAGATTAAAGTCCATTTCAAGGATATTATAGCCAGCTGTTATTTTTCTCCTTATAATTTATGGTCAACACTAATAAAGATATATATGATAAAGAGAGAGTAATACAATAATCAATTTTTATTACCTGATCATTATCTTTTTTGGTGATATTGCAATTTGAGCTGATTTTTTTTTTCGGTGCAACAAGTGTGATTTTTTTTAATTTTATTTTTTTTTAATTTTATTATTCAATCAACTACGGCTTGGGTCATTTCCCCCCCTTGTGCCCCCACCCCTCCTTACCACCCACTCCACCTCCTCCCTCTCCCCCCCAACCCCCTCAATACCCAGCAGAACTATTTGCCCTTATTTCAATTTTGTTGTAGAGAGAGTATAAAACAATAAAGGAAGGTACAAGGGTTTTTTGCTGTTGAGAAGGATAAGCTATACAGCGGCATTGACTCACATTGATTCCTAATGCGGTGTGTGTTACCTTCTAGGTTAATTCTTTTTGATCTAACCTTTTCTCTAGTTCTGGTCCCCTTTTCCTATGGGCCTCAGTTGCTTTTTTTTTTTTCATTTTCTTTTATTATTCATATGTGCATACAAGGCTTGGTTCATTTCTCCCCCCTGCCCCCACCCCCTCCCTTACCACCCACTCACCCCTCCCTCCCCCCCTCAATACCCAGCAGAAACTTTTGCCCTTATCTCTAATTTTGTTGTAGAGAGAGTATAAGCAATAATAGGAAGGAACAAGGGTTTTTTGCTGGTTGAGATAAGGATAGCTATACAGGGCATTGACTCACATTGATTTCCTGTGTGTGTTACCTTCTAGGTTAATTCTTTTTGATCTAACCTTTTCTCTAGTTCTGGTCCCCTTTTCCTATTGGCCTCAGTTGCTTTTAAGGTATCTGCTTTAGTTTCTCTGCGTTAAGGGCAACAAATGCTAGCTAGTTTTTTAGGTGTCTTACCTATCCTCACCCCTCCCTTGTGTGCTCTCGCTTTTATCATGTGCTCAAAGTCCAATCCCCTTGTTGTGTTTGCCCTTGATCTAATGTCCACATATGAGGGAGAACATATGATTTTTGGTCTTTTGGGCCAGGCTAACCTCACTCAGAATGATGTTCTCCAATTCCATCCATTTACCAGCGAATGATAACATTTCGTTCTTCTTCATGGCTGCATAAAATTCCATTGTGTATAGATACCACATTTTCTTAATCCATTCGTCAGTGTGGGCATCTTCTGCATAACTTGGCTATTGTGAATAGTGCCGCAATAAACATGGGTGTGCAGGTGCCTCTGGAGTAACCTGTGTCACAGTCTTTTGGGTATATCCCAAGAGTGGTATTGCTGGATCAAATGGTAGATGATGTCTGCTTTTTAAGTAGCCTCCAAATTTTTTTCCAGAGTGGTTGTACTAGTTTACATTCCCACCAACAGTGTAAGAGGGTTCCTTTTTCCCCTCATCCTCGCCAACACCTGTTGTTGGTGTGTTGCTGATGATGGCTATTCTAACAGGGGTGAGGTGGAATCTTAGTGTGGTTTTAATTTGCATTTCCTTTATTGCTAGAGATGGTGGCATTTTTTCATGTGTTTTTGACCATTTGAATTTCTTCTTTGAGAAAGTTCTGTTTACTTCACTACCCATTTCTTTATTGGTTCATTAGTTTTGGGAGAATTTAGTTTTTTAAGTTCCCTATATATTCTGGTTATCAGTCCTTTGTCTGATGTATAGTTGGCAAATATTTTCTCCCACTCTGTGGGGTGCTCTTCAGTTTAGAGACCATTTCTTTAGTGAACAGAAGCTTTTTTAGTTTTATGAGGTCCCATTTATCTATGCTATCTCTTAGTTGCTGTGCTGCTGGGGTTTTGTTGAGAAGTTCTTACCTATACCTACTAATTCCAGAGTATTTCCTACTGTTTCCTGTATCAACTTTAAGAGTTTGTGGTCTGATATTAAGGTCTTGATCCATTTTGAGTTAATATTGGTATAGGGTGATATACATGGATCTAGTTTCAGTTTTTGCAGACTGCTAACCAGTTTTTCCCAGCAGTTTTTGTTGAAGAGGCTGCTATTTTTCCATCGTATATTTTTAGCTCCTGTCAAAGATGTGCTTATAGTTGTGTGGCTTCATATCTCTGGATCCTCTATTCTGTTTCCACTGGTCTTCATGTCTGTTTTTTGTGCCAGTACCATGCTGTTTTTATGTTATTGCTTTGTATACGTTTGAAGTCAGGTATTGTGATACCTCCTGCATTGTTCTTTTGACTGAGTATTGCCTTGGCTATTTGTGGCCTCTTGTGTTTCCATATAAATTTCACAGTAGATTTTTCTTTATAAATTATACAAGACAAAAAGTTTTATCACAGGGAGTTTCTACATTTATATAGACTTTATGTCACAGTTGCAAACAAACCCATTTAAAAAAAGTGATTTGACTATAATAGGAATTCTGAAAGTGCACTGAACCAGCATACAGTGTTTAATTCTATCTTGCACTTACAGTGTTCACAATTTAAGAAACTTTTCATATACATTATTTCATATCAAACTTAGCATATCCCTGGGGGTGTCTGCTCAGTGGTAGAGTATATACATGAGACCCTGGGTTCAATCCCGACTACCTCAAAAAAAAAAAATCCGTTATAACCTTCTCTCTCTCTGTCTCTCTTTCTCTCTCTCTCTCTCTCTTCTCTCTCTCTCTCTCTCTCTCTCCTCTCCTGTCTCTTATTAGAGATCTAACCTAAGGTTTAGTACATGTTAGACAAGTACTCCATCACTGAGCTATATCCCTATTTCTCTGTCTCTCTCTCTCTTTCTCTCTCGGTTGTAGTGAGGTTTGAACTCAGGGCTTTGCTCTTGCTAGGCAGGTATTCTATTACATGAATCATGCCTCCTGTCCTTTTTGCTCTGTTTATTTTGGAGAGAGTGTCTCACTTTTTGCCCAGACTATTCTGGATCACGCCCTTCCTATTTTAGTCTTCCGTACAGTACCTGAAATGACAGATACGTGCCACCATATCCAGCTTTTTTCTATTGAGATAGGGTCTCACAGATTTTTATCACCTGAGCTGGCCTGGAAAGGCAGCTCCCAATCTCAGACTCCCAAGTAGCTGGCATGACAGGCTTACACCACCTTGCCCAGCTATTGGTTGAGATGAGGTCTTCCTAACTTTTTGCCTAGGTTGGTCTAGAATGAGATCCTCCTGACCTCAGCCTCCCAAGTAGCTAGTATTACAGGCATGGGCCACCAGTACCTGGCTCCCATCTCTTAAGTAAGTAAATTGAGGTTGATTGTTTAAATTATGAGACTTACTTACCCAATATCACATATTTACTAGACCCCAGAACTAGAGCTGGAATCTAAGCCTTCTAACTCCCCACACCCAAGGCAACTTCCCTCATCAACTAAAATTCACTGTTTTCTTATTTATATAGACCAGAGCATTCTAATAATAAATGTACTCTGCTGAGATGAGGGTTACAAGTTTATGATAAAAAGAGCTAAATTAATAATAATGTGGGTAAAAAATTATAGTAAAAAGTTTTCTTAGTTTCAATGAACCTAAGCTAGTGATTCTCAAAGCGGTGCCATGGAACTTCAGTCCAGTGATAATTGTCTTGGACAAAACCTTGAAAATTCTATCTAGTGCAAAGATTATTAAAATACTGTAGGCTGTGGGGTACACCTTTTGAAAAACACTACTCAAACCCAACTTTTCCAACTCTAACAGCAATTAAAAAAAGATAAAAAGAATTTGTCTTACTGTATAATGACTCAAAAATGTTAAGAATCTTTCTGAAAATCATGTGTAAATAAATCCCTTTTTCTGTCATTGAAGTCACTCCCTTCAAGAAAAACCTGCAGCATGAGATCCAGGTTTCCTTCAAAGGCTCGTGTAATTCTTTTCCATCATGCCCCTAGACCCATATAAGCAGACTTCACCAATTCCACTCACAGGCCTAATCAGTAGAAGTATCAGCTCTGGTCACTGAGACAAGATTCCATTCAGGTCATCAAATCTACAGTCTTGCATACTTTTTTTCAGGAACCTCAATCAACCACCAGGTCTTTAAAAATACGAAACAAACAAAAACGTATCTGCATACCTTTAACATGAGTTCTTCACACTGGATGAACTTAGGAAGCACCCAGAGATGGTTCTGAAGCCAGGGCTCTATTTTAATTGAATTCAAACCTTCTGGAGTTTTGCAGCAATACTTTTTAAATATCCCTTCAAGTGATTTTACATATAACCAAGGTCAGTTTAAATACTTTTCTTGAGAGGTGCATTTATTTTCAAATTCCCTTCAGTAAGCATTTCTCTGTTTCTCTATGCTAACAAAACTTGAAAACTTCACAGATAAGATCAACCAAGGAGTTTGGTCATTTGATCACTTGCATAAGAACACTTGGTTAGTGACATCTCTGAAATAAGCTACAGTTTCAAGAATGTTAATTATTCAAACTGATTTTATAAAAGGAAGAACAAGCCTATATCAAAATTTCCCTCAATATTAGGGGCCCCTAGGACTCGTGGCTTTTTTTCATTTTTATTGTACAGGGGGATTCATTGTAATAGTTTCAAATAGACTTACATTGTACGTTGGTTAGACGGCCCCCACTGTCTCCCCACTCTGCAGCCCCCCTCCCTGCCCCACTTAAAGTACTTGCAAGAGGTTTCTTCATTCTATTTCTTATATATATACATATATGAAGTCCATCAACTACATTCCCTCCTTCATTCACCTCCCCCACTCCCATAAGTACTCCCCACACACAACCTTTGTTTTTTTATCTAGTCATTTTTTTGTCACATGCCTTCACAAGTCTTATAGGTTTCTGAGTTCTGATTG